CTCAGCTTTTGTGGAAATTTACCAGCCCGGGTAGTCATAGACCTTGTAAATAGGTAGCCTTGGCAGACAATACCAACTTAGATAAGGACAAGTGAGTCATAGGCAGAGTCATAGTGACCTGTCCCCTGAACCTTCACCCAGCCGATACCCGGTTCTGAAAAATATCTGTATTTCCCCTGAACACCCGTGCTCCAGTGTCATCCCCTTCCCCATATCCTGCCTTTCTGTGTATATAACCCCTGTGTGAATGAATTACGATTTGAGAAAAAATAAATGAATTATTTTTTTTAATAAAATGTAAAGAAAAAAGAAAAAATCAAAAACAAAAACAAAAAAAGAAAACTAGTAGTGAAAATAAGGTGGTCATAAGAATATCAAAGAAGGTAGTTGTCAAATGAATGGATGTGTAGATGCATTAACAATGCTTTCCTTGGGGCTTTAAAGAATATGTACTAACCCACAAGTTTAACTTCATGTAAAAAAGGAGAAATTAACAGCTCAATTAACCAAACCAAAGGATATGTCTGGACTCAGAAGAGTCTGAACCAAACTTCAAATTGTACTTTGTTGTCCACTACCTTGTTCTCATCCTCTCCAAGCTCAGTTTCATGTTCTTCTATCCTCTCTGTCCATCATCTCCCTCTCGCTTCCTTCTACCCCAGAGACCAAGAACCCTTTGCTGATCTCCTGGATTACCTTTATTTGAGTATGAAGAGACAGTTTCTTCTCCAGGAGATATAATAAATATTCTCAAGATGAATGAGATGAAAAACTGTAAGTAAATTTATAAAGTAATAAATTAATTAATAAAATCCATAGACATAATTTCTAAACAAACATCAGAATCTTATCAATACTTTAGAAAAATAGATGAATGCTTTAAGAACCTTATTCCTTATGAATGGAAGAAAGTTTTTCCATCCTTAGGGCATTCTTTTGAGATGATGAAAAAATCACTCACAGAGCCAAAAGGAAGCTTTTATTTGTGTTCATGGGGATTTTCCACTCCTTTGTTCACCTCTATTAAAACAAATAAAAGTAAAAATGTCAGAATGAATCCCCCCTCAAAAAAATCTAATAAGTAATAGGATCTCTGCTCAGGAAATCTACATATGCTACACTGCATAGGTACCTTTGGGTAAACTGGGAGCTAAGATTTTTTCTGTCTTCTTCTTTTGTAGTATTGAGCATTGAACTTTGATCTTTATGCTTTTGTATCATTGATTTTCATCTCCAGCTCTCAAGATTTTAGTGGAGAGAGAATACAGATGTCATGCATAGATGGCAAACCTTTTACTTTTATCGTTAGAGAAAAGTTCCACTAAGGAACCACTATACATCTTCTAGGGTATTAGAGATTTGGTTTCCTATATGTTCTATGGTCTTTCTCATCTGCCACTTGTACAAAAGGCTTTAATTTTTAACAATCTAATGAAGCCCATTCATCTCTGTATTTGTCCAGTGACCTGCTTAAAATAATGTATCTTTTTACCTTTTATTAAGCATATTATTTTCTCATACAGTATATTCTAATTATAATTTCCCCTTCCCCTCCTCCTCTCAGATCTTCCTCATTTCCCCTCCCCTGTGGATGTACTCCCTTTCTGTCTTCCATTAGAAAACAATAGGTTCCTAAGACATAACAACCAAACATGACAAAAAAATTAAGCAAGAACTATCATACAAAAGGTGGGCTCAGCAACCCAACAGGAGGAAAAGAGTCCCAAGAGCAGGCACAAGAGTCAGAAAGCCACTTGTTCCCACAGTCAGGAGTCTCATGTTAATATTAATCTAATAGTTATAAAATATATGCAGAGGACTGGTTTCAGATCCCTGGAGGCCCTGTGCTTGCTGCTTCAGTCTCTGTTGAGTTCATTTGTGCCCTGCTTAGTTGACTTAGAGGGCCTGTTCTCCGGTGTTCTCCATCCATCCCCTCTGGCTCTTACACTCAGCGTCCTCTTCCATGGAGCACACCTAAGCACCAAGGGAAGAATAATGTATCTTATTAAAATCCTAACAATACTTGTTAATTTCAAAGTTTTTCATTTTCTTCCCTTCTTCTCTCCCCATCAAACGTTGCTCACATCTCATTTGTAAAACAATCTGAGAGTATGTTAAAGGGGCTGAGTGGGTAGGAGCAGGCATCAAACTATTTTTCCAAAATGTACCCACCATCCACTGAATTGACTCATGGATCAGAGAGATTCCAGATAAGGGGTGGGATATCCAGAATCTTTCTGTGGAGACTGGGACTCCTCTATGTCAGGGAGTTAATATGGAGAGGTCGTGGTATTTTCAGCAGGCCAGTTTCAAGAATTAGATCTGAGGAATAGAGGGTTACTAGGGAACGGGTGATGTAATTTGGTAAAGTGCTGGGGTGAAACAAAATGGTAGTACCTGGATGGGGGTAGATCTCTTGAATTCTGAGGCTCTGGTTAGGAGATTCCAGTGAAACTCATCAATGAATCTGTCTTCTTTTTTAATGTCAGTTTCCTTCTTTAAGTATCTTTTCAGTACTTTTGCTTAAAGGTTGTTTATGTTGCCAAAAACATAAAGGAGTGAACTGTGAGAACAGGAAAAGTGAAGGTCTTGGTAAACTCAGACCAGGAATCAATTCTCAGACTTGCCACTTCCTAGCCATATGCTCCTAGGCAAGCTGTCAGGTGCTGTGAGTCTCAGAGTTCTTGTTTGTAAAACAGACTTGATCCATCTTGTGGAATTTGGGGTGTGTATGGACTACATACAAATTACTAGGCATATTTGTTTTGTGCATATTGCATTGTTTACAAATGTCAATAGTTTATGCAATTTTTCAAACAAACTAGATACATTTTCCTTATGAATAATATACATATTATTTAAACCTATTTATGAGAGAATTTCTCCAGTTCACAGGACTTTTGTCCTTTAAAGTTTATATTCGGTCATATCATTATTTTCATCCTTTTAACTGCTACTAATTACTCAATCCTTGTTTAAGTTGATCAAACAAAAATCAAGATCCCCTAATCATGAATGATCTTACAATAGAGTGGGTTCCCCTACACCAGAGGAAAGACTGCAACCTAAATAATTCAAGTGATCACATTAAGGCAGTATCATCAAATTTCCCAGAAATGTTTATAGGTACTGTGTATCCAATACTTAGGTAATATATTATGTTCAATTTCACTAGGATAGGAGTTCAAATCATCTTCTAAAACTGTTCCATCCCCAGTGAAGATTCATTTCTTTTTTAGCCATGGTTCAAAAGAAATTCTCTGAGCATTTTTCCATTCCAAGTTTTTCCTCTCATGTATCAGAAACACTGAGAATCTGGTTCCCACTACTATAGTCTCTAAGGCCACTTTAAGTGCCCTTAAAGCAGTGGCACCCATTTCCCACCTTGGTCTGTGACCACCTTAAGGTACCACTGCAGGAGCTATCAAAATGGGAGTACCTGTCACAACCACAGCACCACCTTTCCTGCTTCAGCCTGTGACTGTTGTGTGGTACCACTGTGTCTGGTAGTGTGTGGTACCACTAAAAGAGTTGTCCACAATGTCAGCACCTCTCTCCAACCTCGCCAAGCAGCTTGCCAGTAATAGCACCTCAGCCAAAGCTGCCTGCAACCAGGAGGGTCACCCTGTCTTAACCCAGGAATTGATACAGGGAAAAGGGAGTGAAAAAAGGCCACCAATCACTGAACAGGAAAAGCCACCAGTCCCAAGCATCCCACAAAACCCCACCAATCCCTGAGCTCTCCAAGCTCAGGACTTGAAATCCCACCAAACCCCACTCTGGAAATCTCTGTGCAGAAAAAGCTCTGCCCCCTAAGAAATCCTATATAAACCCTGCCCTGGCAGCCAGTCCTCAATACCCTGGAACCTCCCAACAGGTCTCTTTTATGAGGTTTGTTGTGTGGTGTCTCTCTCATCAGAAGCCAAGAAGAAATAAAAAGAAAGGAAGAACTGAAGAAGTGGAGCAAGGCTGAGACTCCTGAGCTTCTCGGCTCATCTGGGAATACCATTCCCTGGGAGCTACAATGCTGAAGGAGTGGGACTGAGGCTCCTGAGTGCCTGACCTCAGCCAGAGATACCCTCCCCTGGGAGATGCGACACCTCTGCTAAGGAGGCTTCCTCTCAGAGCTCTGTTTCCTGGGCTCCCGAGTCTCAGGATACCCTTCCATTGAGACACTGTCCCACCTGAAAGCTATGTTTCGTGAGCTCCCATGTAACAGGCTATCCTTCCATTGGGGTACCTTCTCCCTTCAGAGCTGTGTGGTGATTCCTGGGCTTCAAAGTCCCAGGATACCCTTTCATCTGAGCAGGAACACTTACAACCACCATCTATCTTAACAGAAGATAAGGACTCACAGAAATATCTGTGGTTTCTCAAAGACCCCAAAATGCCTCCGCTCAAAGCATTTATACATGACAGATGTCATCTGGAATCCCATCTCAGTCCTTTTATTAACTGTTTTTTTTATACTATTACAAATAGTTCACTGATTCTTAAATTTCTACTGTTATTAAAATGCCCCCCAAAGAACAGACACTGCTGACAAAATGAGTCAGTACAGTTTTTTAAGCTTTAATTTTTCATGCATTCTTGACTAAAACAAGTAAGGTGTACATCTTTAGTTTCACAATGCAGACTAACAGAATACAGGAATTCTAGTGTTAATCATTTTCTTTTACACTTTTCTTGCACTTACTGATATCATTTAACTACTTTCCCATTTCTAAGGAAAATTTAGTCACATTGCTTTTTGATCTTCCTCTAGGTCTCAAAGCTGAAAATATTCTCAATTTACTTTTAACAACAAGGTTCTTATTCTGAAAACCAGCAATCAGTAGCAAATGCGTGAGCAACACAACAAATAAATCTAGACTCGGAAGCTAATAAACCTTTTAAAGAGAAACATCTGAATCAGTACAGAAAGTACAATGAAACTAAAATCTCTTCTGCTTGAAGGCTCGTTTGCTTTCTTTAAACATGGAATGAAAAACCAGCCTGATTTACTCAGGGTGGGAGACACTGCTGGGCTTGTCCCCAGAACCTGAATTGTCCACAGCAGTAGAAATGGCTGTGGAGGCAAGCAGAGCTCGGGCTCTCTCCTCTTCATCTTCCAGAGCCTCTTTATACAAAGCAGTGAAGGAAGTGGGGTTACTCCTAGCAACCTTGGAGAAAAACTGCAGGACTTTCATTTTGCTTGTTTCAGCTTGGGCCCTTGGGCCCCACAGAAACTCATAACTTGGAGGATCACTGTGAGGTATAGGCTGGTATATCAGGTAATTCTCTAACACCAAATCTTCAGTGATGAACTTTCTGGGATTCTCACATATAAAATCATGTTGGTCAGGATACACACCAACCACACTAAGCACCGCCCAGATCTTTTTCTCAGAAGCACGGTTGCCTTCCATGAAGATTACACCAAGGATAAGCACCAGGAGGCCGGTCTTGGGTATCCCCTCTTCATTGCTGATCCGCCCATCATAGGTGAGGTCAAGGATTTTCAGGAGCCTGTAGGTGTGGTTCAAGGTATCCACTTCCTTTACATCAATGCCAAAGACCACTTCCATGCATTCACAGGCATGCTTGAAGATCAATGCATAGTAGCCCTTGTACTCCTTAACAACTCTCTTCAGAATTTCTGCTTCTGTGACGGGCTCATTTCTTATATACTTGAAACTCAGAAACTTCACCAAATCAGTAACCTTCTTCTGAAGCATACTGTTGAGCAAAAACTTGGAGAATAGGTAGGCCTTTGAGGTACGTTGACCTCTCTCTGCTTGACCACGAGGACCTGTATTTGCTTTGCTTGATGCAGTGGCTTGAGCAGAAGCAGAGGATGAGGAGGTTTCCTGGGACTCCTCGGCAGCAGCTACCTTCTCCAAGGTGCCTACCTCTTTAGCTGCAGGAACTTCCTCCCCTAGCTGGCCCTCAAGGCCTTGATCATGCTTCTGCCTGTGGGACATTGTAATTTGTTTTCCAATAAGTGGCCTGAGGGTGAGAGAAAGAATGTGAGGATTTTGTAACCTGTCAGCATTGACAAAGGCTTTTTCAATATTTAACTTAGTTCTCTTGGGTCTCATGGGCCTGCCTCCTATGAACTCTCTTCTGCTCTATGGTCTCTGAATATTACTTAGTTCAATAACCATGCCCTTTGTTCCTGGAGCTTCCATATGAGCAATTTATGGGAGGAGCTCAGGTCATAGACCACATGTACAGACTTGGGTCCTATCCTCAGGGCTAACTGCTGGATAGAAGTAGATTTTGCAAGATCCACACAATTATGGCATGGACAGGCACTAGTAGCAGTAATTAGGGACTAGACTCCCATCTGTTTCTATGTATGGGGCCCTCCCTCCATTCTCCAAATGACTCTTGAAAGGCCTGAGACACCTTTCTTTGATAAACGGTTAATCCTTTGACATTGCAGAAGGGAATACTAGCAAACAAATCAGTAAACCAGAAAGCAGGGTCTCCTAGGACAGGAGCAGCAAATCTCTGGTGGTATGGGGATCCCATCAATCTTTATTCAGGATCCCCTCACTGGCTAACACAACTTCCATCTCCTTCCTTGGTTGACTAGATATAACCACCTCCGCTGACTTAGGACAATGACATCCCCTCCGTAAGAGAAAAGTACAAAGAAACCAAAAGGACCCATACAGAAACTCCTGCTTAGTATCTTTTTGACCTTGGCAGTAGCAGCACAATCCAGTGTGTGCTTGAATTAGAGGTCCACTAGTCTTCCCTCAGTCTTCCCCTCTGGCAACCAAATCTCACCATCCAGATTCCTCCCATGTAAATAAAATCTAAAACAAAATACTCAACATAAAAATAACCACCTCCTTTGTGAAGCCCCTGACAACCTAGAAACAAAGGGATTCTCATACAGACATATCTGTAGCCTTCTAGGGCTAGAAGTGAGAAAACAGTAGTTTTCAATTTTTATTACATTTTTTAGTGAAAAGTTATTTTATACAGTATATTCTAATCATGGTTTCCCTTCCAGCATCTCCTCCCGGATCTCCCAACTCTACTACTCTTCTAACTCTAAGCCTTCTTTTGCTCTCTCTTTTGTCTAGGACAGCCAAGGTTACACTGAGAAACCCTGTGTTGAAAACAAAACAAACAAAACAAAAAATAAAAAAGAGATAAATAAAGAAGACAAAGAACAAAACAAAATGAATTAACAAAATGAAACTAAGAGAATGAGAAATGTACAGACATGCATGTAAGTGTACACACACATATGTAAGCACACACACATATACTATGCATGCATATGTACAAATGTGCATGTTCGTAGGCATATACACATGCACACGGACCACACAAGTAAAACTCATACACAGAAAAACATTGTCTCAAAAAAAAAAAAAACCAAACAAAAACAGAAAGAGAAAGGAAAAAAACCCCTCAAAGTCAGAAACCATAATATATAAGCAAAAGACCGATAAGGGAAAAATAAATAAATTAATTAAATAAAGCACTATGAAACAAGATCTCCAACAGTTTATGTTGGTCATCTACTGCCAGGCATGGGGAATGGTTTGGACACACAGGGAAATTTCCTGGGAGAAATTAATTTTTTTTCTGCAGGAAGTAGTTAAAAAAAGAGGCCCCAGGGAAGGGGGATGCCTAGTGTGTGTGTGTTGGGGGGGGGGGCGGTTAGCCTCTTGGAGGCAAGGGGGAGGAGGAATGGGATGAGGAACTGTGGGAGGGGGAAAGGGGGCAACGCTGGAATGTAAATAAATAATTTTTATAAAAGAAGAAAAACTTCTTGTTGGGGATGAGAACTCAAGCCTACTTTTCCATCTTAGCAGCGGGAGCCCCTTCAATTTGGGTTTGTGCAGGTCCTACGTATGTCTTCCATGAGATAGCGACGCGGATGTCGAGCCCTTTGAGGGCCGTGACTCAGCAGTTTCTCAGGCCTCATCGCAGAGCTGGGTTTCAAGAAGCTATAGTCTGTCTGCGAGAGGTCCTTGAGACTCTATAACATTGTCTCACTCTGATGTCCCTCTGGCCTTGCCAGGAATGCTTCCCTCCCTCTAGGGACAGGGGTAAAACTATCAGAAAAAGCGCTCCTCAGATTCCAAAATGGAGGCTGACATAAAACAGACCAGGGCGTCAGGCCTTCCCCACCAGGGTCAGAAGCAGGGGCCTAGTGAGGGGCACAAAGGGCATTCTATTTGTAAGGAAAGGTTTATACCTCCGATGTACCTATAACTTTCCCCAAATCCTCACCTTCAAAGCACCACAGGGCCTGAAACGGCTCCTTCAGCAGAACGAAGCGGTCCGCAGCCTGCTTCGAGTGGGCACCTTCTTCAGATAGCCAAAACGGAAGTCACTGTACGTCACATCCACTTGCTGTTACAGGAATCTGTGAAGCAAGACAGTCTACCTCACATCCGGTCTAAAGAGTGCGCATGGTCAGAGAAGGGAACTGGAGGAGGGGTCGGGATTTTGGGAGGGGCTTACTGGGAGTGGAACAGTGAATGAGATGTAAGTGAGTAAGTTAAAAAAAAAAGAAAGAGAAAGAGCGAGAGGGAGAGGAAAAGCGAGAAAGAAAGGTTGTGGAGTGCACCAGAATGCCGGAAGTGATGTGCTTTTGTAAAGGGAAATACTGGGGAGAAAGCCAACAAGCAGAGAGGTGGGGCAGGGGAGTTTTCAATATATAATATGCAAATGCAAAAGGAACATTACTTTGTATCTTAATTCTTTTAAAATAGCAATTTATAAATCGAAACTGTTAACTATCTCCTTATAGCAGCCCTTTACTGCGTCATTAATGCTTAATAAACATGGTGACTCTTTTTTAAAAATACTCTATGGTGAGCACAGTGTTTTCAATTCCCAGCACCTTGTATCTCTGTCTTCCTGAGGCCACACCTTTAAACCTAAATGTTCTTTACACTAAGATCACCAATATGGGACCGAGGGACAGCCCTAATTTGACAAGTTCATAAGAGATTCAAAATTAGCTTTATAGGTTTCTGTGCGATTTTTCTGTAATTCAGGTTGGAGGCTTATTTGTGTTTCTCTCTGAGTCTCTCTCTCTCTCTCTCTGTGTGTGTGTGTGTGTGTGTATGTGTGTGTGTGTGTGTGTGTATGTGTGTGTGTGTCTGTCTGTCTGTCTGTCTCTGTCTCTCTCCACCGCAGTCCAGTTTTCTCATTATTTTATTATTTACATTCCCGTCACACTCTTTCTTCTCTTCCCAGTCCCCCGCCTCACAATTCCCTCCACCTATTACCCTGTCCCCTCCTCCTCAGAGAAGGGGAAGACCCCCTGAAGCCTTCCTGAAACATCAAGTCATAGCAGGACTAAACACAGACTCTCCCCTTAGAGACCAGTCATAGACCAGTCAGTCTAGCCACAGAAAGGAGATCTAATGGCAGGCAAAAGAGTCAGAGTCAGCCCCTGCTTTAATTGTTAGGGGCCACAAGCTGCTACAAACGTGTAGGGGGCCTAGTTCCAGCCACTGCATACTCTTTGGTTGGTGGTTCAGTCTCTGTGAGCCCCCACAGACCTAGGTTAGTTGACTCTGTAGGTCATCTTGTGGTGTCCTTGACCCTTCCTGTTGGCTCAATCCTATTTCCCATTCTTCCACAAGACTCTCAAGGGTCTGCCTGATGTTTGGCTGTGGGTCTCTGCATGTTTCCATGCACTGCAGATGAAGAAGGAGACAGTAACATGCAAGGCTCCTGTCTGTAAGTATTTTCTCGTCATATGGCCTGTATTCTTTGCCTTCATAAGGTCTTCTATCTTCCTGAAATACTTCCACAGGACTATGAAGCATGTTAACAAAAATGCCTGTCCCAGAAAGCTCTGTCCTGACATTTAGAGGAAAACAAGGTATATTTCTATGAGATCCCCTCAGAAGGAATTCTATGAATCCCCCATCTCAAGGAATCCTCTTACCTTGGTTCTTGGTCCAGAGTGCCTCTCTGTATGGATTGGTTCCTGCCTTTTCTTAGCCAAAGACTCACTTCCCAGAGAAACTATAAACTATTACTTTAGAAGCCAAGGTCCACAGCCTCTGATTTTTTTTTTTAATCTGGTATCCTGTTACTAATGTCAATGCTAGTCTTTAATTTTCTCACATGATTTTTTTTTTTGTTGGTAGTGTCTGGAAAAATAGTTGATTGTTGTTTAGCGATATGTTCTGCAATAATGTAGCTGAACTCTTGAAAAATGTGCCTTTGTATGCCCTTGGTTTCTGTGTAGATATACTTTTCTGCAATTAATATCAGTACTGTTTGTTGCTAAAACTTTGTTTTCATTTTACATTTTCTTGCTTTACAACTAAGTAGGCATTCTGGTATAATATTCATTAGCTTGCTGGATATTCTATTTCTTAACAGCTAGATTCTAACAGATTCACAAACATAAATATTAAAGGGTTGAGACCTCCTAAAGTTAATTTATCAATAATTATACAGTATTACTATATTTCAGGGATATATATGAGGTCATGTACTCTCTTTCTTCCCTTGATCCTCTTCCTCCCTCTCTCTTTGTGTCTATGTAAATGTGTGTTCATTAAACTCAATATTTCTTTAGCTACAGATTAGTATTACTTAATATTTTGTGGACTGAGAATTGAATTTAAGGCCTCATCCTTATAAGGCAACTACTCTAGCACTGAGCTACCCAGTTACAGTGTCAGCACTAAATGTTTAATTACATTTATTAATGTATTTATTTATTAGTTATCCATTTATTTATTGCATGTGGGCATCCATGAGCACATGCACCATAATGCACAGGTAGAGATCATAGAACAGCATGTTGGAGTCCTCGTCTTCCATCATGTGGGGCCTGGGATAAAACAGATCCTCAGGCATGACAGCAAGTGTTTTTACCTACTGAGATATCTCAATGGATCTTTATTTCACACTATAGAAGAGGCAACTAAATATCAAGTAGTATGTGTTACTTGGTCCCTGACACTCATATGACTAATAA